TATATATATATATAAAACTGAAGTCAAGATAAAAAAGTATCGCTAGAGACAAGAGAAGAAATCAAGCAATTTGCATAGAACATAAATATTTCAATATCAGCGAGGCAGTGTAGCGCTCCCCCATGAAAACCGCTTTTTACTCCACCCTATCATTCTAAGGTAATTGCGACGTGTCCGCGCCACAATGTCTTATTTCAAATAAACAATCGATAAAATAAAATATAAACGAACGTGGGAAAAATGCTCCTGGCGTACAGGCTTTTAATGCTGTTGAATCACACGATAATTGCGTTATCGCTACTGATATAAGAGGCATCATTTCGCATGTGGATAGAATCGTGCGTCGGCGAGCGATGCTATTTTCGGTGACACGGAAACAAAGATAATTTGAACAACGCGCGAGCGTGTGTGCTGTGACCCGCATTCGAATCGCCCTTTAAATAGCGATCTGTTCCTTCTTCGTGTTGCATAAAAGAAAGAGAAACGAGAGAGGACACGTGCTGCACGTTGCGTCTCTAAAACGTGCATCTAGAGGCCGATTCGCGCCGCGACGCACAGTCGACCTGTTGAATGGAAAGCTCGTTATTAACAGTTTTACGCGAGTATACTTGGCAGTAGTTCACCATTTTGATTGCACGTTATTTAATGAGTAGAGTAGTAATCTCAGTAACGTTACTTCTTGCAGTGTGTTTCTGTGTCATGTAAAAAATCATGTGGTTTATAATCTTCGATCGAATTTTTGATAAGCGAATTCACGAGAAAATCCATGGAAGCCTTGGAGTTTCCTTTTTTAAAAATATTTACAAAATGTGATATATTTTTAAATATTTTTTAAATATTTATAAAATATTTATAAATATTTATAAAATGCTTAATTTTGTATTCCGAAAATATTTTTTAATTTAAGAAATTCCTAGAAACACAGATTTCATTGTATTATTCTTTTTTGCGTTAATATAATATTTAAATAAAATTATGAATCTTATATATTACACATTTAATAATATTTTTAATAATACTTTTCAATGTAATAATTTAAATAATAATTTAATATTTTCTATTCATATTCGAAAATGTGCTAATGGCTTTCCTTCATAAATTTCTAGATCCGCCAATATAGACACAGACTTCATGTTTTTGTTCGTGTATTTTGTATATATTTGCGATCCGACATTTGCAATCATTCTTCGTAGACTTGTGGTCCTAAAATAATCGCTTTTACCGCACATAATATTACTTCGCTAAATCGGTTAAGAATTTATTTTCTCGCTCCTCGGAATTGTGACGTTTTCTTGTTATTTAATGTATTTAAGAGAACAGAACGTACCGTGTAAATTTCCTTGATATTATTTCCTTTGATAAACCTTTCATTGTCTGGTGATTAAGCATTTACAGATGTAAGCGTCAGTTGCCAGCGCACTCAATTCCCGTTACGTTCGTCGACTCGCGGACGTTTCTGACTACGCTTTCATTAATTGTCGAATTACATTTCTGATTGCGGTACTGGAAGCGAAGAAATTTCAAGGAGCATCAAATTGCGCAACATAATCGGCCTCTGGACTCGCGAATGCAGAAACAGACGCGAGGGATGATAAATGAATTGAGGTCGACGGCACAGTCGAGAGCCGAATCGTCTTTTAAATAGCCATAGAGGGTTGGCAGCGAGGGCAAAAAAAGGAAAAAAAAAAGGAAAAGACAAGAGAAAGAGAGAAAAAGAGAAAGAGAGCGACGCGCACACACGCGCGCTTACACAAAGTTCACGTGGCGCCTCCAAAGGCATTTCTCGAGGTCGCTCCACTCCGCCGGGGTCGACCTGATGAATGGAAACGTCGGTATTATTGTGTTTACACGCGGGACACACGGGTGCCTCTCTCGCCACACTTGGCGTGGAAACATTCCATTCATAAAGCGTTCCGCGCGTTCCTCTCACCGCCACACACACCCCGCCGTGCGGCCCACACATATGCACATGCACACACGCAGACACACAGACGGGGAAGGGTACACGACCCTCTGCCTACCACGCGGGGGTTGACACCAGTGACGTATTCAGAATTTCGTTGCCGCGCCAAGGGGTGGTCCCAGCCCGCCCCGAGATAAAGCCGCGCGGAGATTTCCTCGGCTTGTGATAATATACCTGTCACCCTCCCTTACTTCGAGCCGAAAATAATTCTTCGCTCTATTACGATGGAAAACGGAGAGATTCTCGACGTGCCGTCCCTCGCGTGTTTAGCAGTGAGGAGACTTGACTATTAAAGATTTGTGAATTTCTTTGTTTATCGTTGCAACCCTTGTCTGATCGTTTGTTTGACTGTGTCTATTTTCGATCCACTTACATACTTTTAATTTCTTAATCATTTTCCGGATCAAAAATAGACAGAAAATTATAGTAGACAAGAATTATTTGTCGTTATAATTAGTCTCTTAATATACACATTTAATTTTCCAAAGCCGGTCGATCTATTGAACGCATTTAATTATAAACCTCTTTGTCAAAAATGTCAATTTTGTCAAACAATTTAATTTTCTTTTTGTTATAATTGCAAATTTAGATTATTCTCATTAAAATAATTTTAATTCCTTGTATTAATTAGTGTCTTTCAATTAACATAAATTAAATCGATCTTACAGATCCAACTGTATTACAGATTCCGATAACTCCGAAGGCAAGCAAAGTCTGTAAAAATCATACTTCATCATCTCTCTAATTATTGTGATAAATATAAAACATAAACATTATATTCTTAACATTATTATTCCCCTTATATTTTTCTCTCTGTGTTTAAAATCTCGACTTACAATCGTAATATATTTCTAACCACACGGAATTTTTAAAAAATAATTTCTTAACATAAAAAGAGCACAATACAGAGAGAATACGCGAAATGCGAGATGAGTGTGAAATCCTCGCGGGGGTGAGGAAGACCGGCGCAACTACTCTTTCACATTACTCGTAACACATCGCGGTAATTTATAACGACAGGTGTTCCCAGTCTGGTTCCCTACCGACCGCTCATCTACCTCTACCGAGAAAAGGCGTCAACCATAACGCCGCCAGCCCTCGGCTGGCGGTGGCAGCAAAGGAATGCTCTTTTTCGTCGCGTGCCTCTCAAGGTCTTTAAACTGAATGGCCACGCGTGCAATCCTGTCGCCCTTTCGCTTCTTTACCGCGTGGTGTCCGCTCTGATGCCGAAAGCGACGTCACAATTGTAGAACGCAACTCACATTCC